CAACTGGACAATCTTATTGTTTAGTAATGTCCAAAAATAACATTTATATCGCCGAAGCATTGCTCAAGGAACGAAAACGAAAGGTGTGTTTTTGTTCATTAGCCAACTAGTTTGTCTCTTGTATCTTTGGTCGACAGTTCTGTGTCGACGGGAATACGATGCTGTTATTGTGGTGTCCTTTAAAGCATCGTCCTTGTTGTTTTACGCGTCTAAGAATTTTTACTTGTATCAAGGAATGTTAAGAATTGTAACCTACGAGTAAAAATGATTGCTGTTTTTTTTACTTGGCCATTTCTTGCATCTTATAGTTTTTCTAGTTTTCCAAGGATATCGATCTGGCTTTACTGTTTTTTATCAGTTATACGTGTTTAGAGTAATTTTACCACTTGTCAGGCTAAACTACAAAACATTAAGAGGTTTTTCGGTACTGATTTCTTTCATTGGGTGTTTTTTCTTCTTTGTTGCTGCTGCCGTTTCATACTTTGCTTTGTGAAAATTCGCAGAGTGTTGTTTTGTTCAATTTCTGACAATTTTTTCAACCACATCTGCGTTTTCGAGGCTATTATGCCACTCTTCATTAGCTTTATGCGGCATTTTAAAGGTTATAAATTGACGCTGTGTAACCCATAGTTAGTTTTAGAATGGGATACTGATAGCATTCTATTTAAAATTCTGACTGTTTACTTATCCTTCAGACATTTTCATTTCTTTTTTTCACAAAAGGTACCAGTAAATTTGTGTGTCTTCTGTGTACAGTATAAACCTTAATAGTCCCACCAATTGTGCTGTCAAGTATATCGTTTAATTGACTTATATAAAGTCGCATTTGTGAAGTTATGTTGGAAATACAAAAATAGATTAAGAAATATTTAGTGTTAGTGCGGACACCGATCTGAATCACTTATTTAGTGCGATATTTCAGGGCAAGACGGAATATTTGGTTAAATGGCGCGGATGGTCTGTAAAGTAAGCATCAGTTTTACCATTTATCTCTTTTTGGAACAGTTCGCTTTGGTGAACAAACCCGAAGTATTTTTACTCTGACAACTTTAGGCATAATTCATGGGAACCTCGCGAGAACATCATTGGTGAAAGGCTTGTTGAGGAGTTTGAAGCAAGAAAAGCTGCCAAACGTGGATCTGGACGTCGGGGAAAAAGAGGCAGGTACACTGCTGCGCGCGATGAGTCAGACGAAGAAGCTAGTAAGTTTTTATTTGCATTTTTCAGTTCTCGTATAGTTTGCTATTGAGAAGGTTTTCCAAGATAAACGTTTTTCGGAAAACCACGTTCAAATTTTTTTTCTTTATTCGTTTCTATGCAAAACGTTATGCGGTAGACAGTTTTATTTAATTGGATGGTAATAATAGCCGGTTTGGTTTTTAAGGATATTCGTTTTTTTCTACACATATATTACCTGTGGACAGTGAGCATTATCTTTTTTCTAATTAGATAAAGAGCTCTAGCGATGTAGTGGAACCGTTTTCTTTAGCCGTTTTATTCTTTTTGACGACGAAATTTTACATGTTAAGCAGAGCAGTTTTCAAGGAGAGGTCTGCCAGCAGCCTTTTTAAAATTTTGGCAATTTATAATTAAGCAATTTACACTTGCTTAGCCACATCAAAGCTTCTATTTTTTTTTTGATTTTTATACTTTATTATATTTCTACCTTGTAAACAATTTTTTTCGTTTTTGATTTATTCTTGGCATAACAGGTGTGGAACCGTCTCCATCTCGTCGTCGTGGACGTCCGAGGAAGCAGCTGAAAGTAGAGGAAGATGTCGTCGAAGTTGAGTCGAAGGAGAAGGAAAAAGAGGAGGATGAAGATGAAGCTAAAAAGGTGGAGTCAATGAATCTCGAGAAGGAGGAGGAGGAAGAAGAGGAGGAAGAGGACGAGGGAGGACAAGTGGAAATTGCTGATGAGGATAAAGGGAAGGAGAAGCAGCAGGAAAAAGAGAAGCAGAAGGAGAAAGAGAAAGAGAAGGAAAAGGAAAAGGAGAAAGAAAAGGAAAAAGAGAAGGAAAAGGAAAAAGAGAAAGAAAAAGAAAAATTGAGTCCTAAAAAGGAAAGGAGTAGTCCAAAGAAGCGCGAAAGTAATCATACTGAAAGCGTTAAGGAAACTGAGCAGCAACAGAAGGAGGCAGAGACTTCGCATAACAGTTCCAGCAGATCTGACCAGCCATCATCGAACACTACTCGTAGCAGCAGCACTTTAGAAACTAGCGTATGTTGCATGCTTGTTAATTTACGGCTTTTGATGATTTTATTTTAGCCTATTTTTCTTTTTTATAGACTGACATATGGTAATTTAGGGAGGTTGGTTTCTTTTCCAGAACGGAGTTTTTTTTTGTGGAGTTGGGTTTTTTCATGAGTATTGTTGTAAAAGCTTGTCTTGTTTCTCCTCTTTTCTTCTGGGACGAAGTTAATTGATAATTATTCAGACGACTACGTTAGACGAAGAAGCCGGCCCGTCAACTGTTGAGGACGGAGCCAACGTGGGAAGAGCTAAAGAAAATATAGTTAACGAGCTTGAACAAAAGGTTGCTAAATCGGAGGGTGTTTTTAAGAAACCTGTTGACAAGGTACATTCAAACACAATTTTTAGCTTTCAGTTTGACTATGGTTTGCTTTTGGGACATCAAACTTTGTTAGCATTACTTTTTTTTTTT